CCATAACTCAATAGTGTACGCTGTGGTGTTTACCATTTGTTAAATAGTAGATGGAATTCATTTTTGGAGAGCCTTAATGATTGTTTCTGTGCATGCATTTTAAACTTACATGCAGAGGGGGGAATGGTTGCTGGAGGTGGCTGAGCACCTGAGAGAAAAAAGAAATATTCAGAAATATTACCCATTCAACTTATTAAAGAACATTAGTTCTGCCAAGTTAAGACGAGGTTTTGTGCAAAAATATGTTTGACTTGACTCGCTAAACAGATAACAATTAGCAGTCTGTTTAACACAGTAAATATTTCTCTGATTGTTGGACAGAAGTGCTGACTTCTCAGTGCAAGCTTCCTTATCCCTCGATACTCCGGTGAAATCAATATATTTCATTCTGCATTTACGTTTGTTAAGAAGACGTTTTAACATTTTGGTGTATATGAAAAAACCGTTAGTTATAAACCTTAACTTAATATAGTAACGGACTCTTTTGACTCACCACATTTGTAAAGCAACATCATCTGCCTAATATCGATAGGACTGAGACCTATTCGGTTACCAATAGTTACCTAGAAAGAATAAAATAACGGATATTTATTTAGAAACTGAAGAGCGTCTACAGCTTCCATTGTCCAAAATAATGACAAAAGTATGATGAATTTGAACTTTAAATTTGGCAATAAACGACGAGAAAGTGCAGTGTGATCGTCCAGGTGAGAGTAGTCCTGAGAAGGACTGTTGTTGGTGGTAGTGACTGACGTTTCGACAACCTGTGCGGACCGCACAGGTTGTCGAAACGTTAGTCACTACCACCGACAACAGTCCTTCTCAGGACTGCTCTCACCTGGACGATCACACTACACTTTCACATGTTATCCCCGAGTTTAAACCGTTTACTGAATAGACGATGATGACTTTTTTATTATTGGGTCTTATGCATCATTGTATTACAGTGCGTGCTTTATCTTGTCTTTCAATAGAGTTATGACGTCTAATAAGATGTTGTGGTTTTTAACTGTAATCGTGCTTAATAATAATCCCCTTCATTGATTCATATTAAGGTAAAAAAACTACAATTCTCATATAACAACGGCTAAGTTATAAAAGTAAAAGTAGTAAAAATTCTAGTAAAAAATACTACTTACACAACTGGGTTATATTTAACAATTGGTTCATCG